CTATCTATTGTAGGATAGTGAGAGAGTATGAATGAAAGTGTTTGAGGGTATGAGAGATTTGTTTGAGGTGGGAGAGTAACAACTTTTTATGGATAGGTTTTGTTTTTTTTGTTTTTTTTTTGTTGGCAGCTTTTTATGGATAGGAGTTATGGATAGTGGGAGAGTGGGAGTGAAAGTCTTTGAGGGTAGGGGAGAAACGTAAAGTAGGAGAGAAATGTGGAAGAGTAGGAGTTTTTATTGTTATGAAAGTCTTTGAGAGGGAAGGAAAAGAACTATAAACTCAAAAGAGAGTTGCCACGTATTTTTCAAATTTATGAGAATTTTAGAATGGCAGATGTTAACAATAATTAACCCACAAAATTTTACAATAAAATTTGATATGCATAAGAAATTATTAATTATGAAAATTGTTGAGAATAATAGTATCACAATCACTTGATAACATAAATAACTTGTATCAAACTAAACAAAACATTAAAAGAGAGAAATTCTATAAGCTCAGAAAAGTTATCACAAATTTACTTTGACTTTTAAATCAGTGGTGTATATTATTATTGTGGGATCAAATTATGAATAAACATCAACTTTTAATTATAATTTATAAGTAGTTTTTAAAAAATTTAATCTAAGTTTGTTGCCTTACTTATAAAAAGAATTTATCAAACAAATCATTAATTGATTATATTTGCAAGTCTCTATCTTTGATTTCCTCTATCAATGACACACCCATATCATATCAAGGTATAAATCATTCTCCATACTTTGAATAATACTTGCATAGTTACTACGTCATTTTAAAAAAAGGAAAATGCGTGAGAGCTCGAATAGCTCGAAAATATTATCTTACCGGTAAGAGAATCAAAAAACACCTTAAAACGACGTCGTTTTGAGATTTCGAGCCATTCGAGCCATTTGATTTTCGAGCTACGTAGCAGTGCCGTTAAAAAAATTAATCAAGATAAGAATGTCATAATATTATAAAAATTATATAAGAGAATAGTTTTAATCCATTTTATTTATAAAAAAATGATAAAAATTATTTGAATTGTACTTGAAAAAATATAACAAATGATAGCTTTAATCATTATATACCAAAAAAAAAAGAATTAAATCGGTTACTTAACGAAAAAATGGTCAAATACAAATAGAGTCATGAACATTGAATTAAATCATATGAGCTCTAAATTGATTGTATAATCTAGCAAATCAACTAATAATAACATAGAGATATTGACAAATATGTAGTACTTCCCTATCATCTTTGTATTATATTCATTAATTTCATATATTATATGAAAGTTTTATTCGTCTCGATCCTTCAATAAAATAAGGATCAAGAAAACAAATTTGATAAGAAATTGATTCTAAACTTAATTATTGAAAAAACAAAAATTTCAAAGAGAGAATTTAGAATAAGTATGCATAAAATCTATATAATAAGGGAAAGAGGTTTTTGAAAATATATAAAATGTATGTGAGATACATTTTAATTTAATGGCTGAGATTAATTCCAAGTTTATATCAATGGTTGAGATCAGTTTTTTTCCCGCTCAAACGCTCTCTGCTCTCTCTCTCCCCCTTTATGTTCTCACTCACGTGTCTCCATTCCCTTTTTGCCTCTCTCCCTTTCAAAATCGGATCCTTGGCTGAAGAATGTTTGAGTTCATCTATGGTATGCACAACAGCGAGCACAACAATCCACCGATTGGCATAAACCTCCGAACTGTGAATCACAACGCCGTTGACAATTACGACGCCGTTCGCGGATCGAAATCGAACCAGAATCCATTAGATTCGGAGAAGAAACTCGAATCAGGTCAGAGCGTTTCACAGCCATTGCGGTCGCGACCATACTGAATCCTCTCTTGAGATGGAGACGGATCGACTCCTCCAGATTTGATCAGAAGCATTTGATCAGGAAACATGCACTTGGACACAGAACCACCGTCTTGGCGAAGGAAATCGAACCAGAATCCATTAGATTCGGAGAAGAAACTCGAATCAGGTCAGAGCCCAATTGTGATATCTATGTATTATATCATTTCCATTCCATCTTGACTTCGTCTTTGATAGCTATAACTTTAGGAAAAAATAATTTTGGGGAAATTGAAAATGGAATTTAGGTAAATTCTCATTGAAAGCAAGTTTATAAATAAAGTTTTTATCATTTTTCAGTGCACAAGGATAATTATTGTTCAATTGCCAAAAGTTAAAATAATTAGCATTTTTGGCAATAAAATTTTCTATTTTCCTCATAATTATTTGATTTTTTTCTTATTGTTAACAATTTGCCCAAACACAAAAATCAAAAGTACAACAGTAGATATGATCAATATATAAATTCTTTTTGATTTATCACAGACTAACTTTTTTTTTATAAATAATTGAAAATTGAAGTGAGATGTACCTCTTCTGCTTTGATTCTTTGATTCTTTTAATGAATTTATAATTGGAGACGAAGAGGCAGCGATTGGTTTTCCAGGTACGACTTCATGGGTTTTGTCTATTATCATTAATTGTTTTGTTTTTGGTTCCTTTGTTGATGAAATTTCAGTGTGTGTTGCAATTTTAGGCAAAAATAGAAGAATTGAAGCTGAAATTTTAGAAGACCCAATTCAATTCAATTGATTTATTTTTCTTTCTACAATCTGTGTTGGAGCTGTGTCCTTCATATTGGTTTGGAATTTTATTCTCATTTTAGGAAATTATATGAGCATCAAAATTACGAATTTTATTCTCATTAGCCTCATTTCAAAAGCAGCAGTCAATGTGTCTAGGAAAGCTAATCATTATTCTCAAAATTTAATCAATAAGTAATTTCTGGTTACAAAATTCTTGATGGTTTACATTTTTCAATTATAAAATCCAAGTAACATCTAACATACTCTCAAAATTGTTGATTAGTTGAGAAGAAAATTTTATAGTACATCATATGCCAAATTATGATTTTGTGGTCTTTTGGTTACTTCCTATGTTATGACTTGGTCATGGCTGGTGTTTATGATTAGTTGATTAGTAGTGTTTATGACTTGGTCATGGCTGGTGTTTATGATTAGTTGATTAGTAGTGTTTATGACTTGGTCATGGCTGGTGTTTATGATTAGTTGATTAGTAGTGTTTATGACTTGGTCATGGCTGGTGTTTATGATTAGTTGATTAGTAGTGTTTATGACTTGGTCATGGCTGGTGTTTATGATTAGTTGATTAGTAGTGTTTATGACTTGGTCATGGCTGGTGTTTATGATTAGTTGATTAGTAGTGTTTATGACTTGGTCATGGCTGGTGTTTATGATTAGTTGATTAGTAGTGTTTATGACTTGGTCATGGCTGGTGTTTATGATTAGTTGATTAGTAGTGTTTATGACTTGGTCATGGCTGGTGTTTATGATTAGTTGATTAGTAGTGTTTATGACTTGGTCATGGCTGGTGTTTATGATTAGTTGATTAGTAGTGTTTATGACTTGGTCATGGCTGGTGTTTATGATTAGTTGATTAGTAGTGTTTATGACTTGGTCATGGCTGGTGTTTATGATTAGTTGATTAGTAGTGTTTATGACTTGGTCATGGCTGGTGTTTATGATTAGTTGATTAGTAGTGTTTATGACTTGGTCATGGCTGGTGTTTATGATTAGTTGATTAGTAGTGTTTATGACTTGGTCATGGCTGGTGTTTATGATTAGTTGATTAGTAGTGTTTATGACTTGGTCATGGCTGGTGTTTATGATTAGTTGATTAGTAGTGTTTATGACTTGGTCATGGCTGGTGTTTATGATTAGTTGATTAGTAGTGTTTATGACTTGGTCATGGCTGGTGTTTATGATTAGTTGATTAGTAGTGTTTATGACTTGGTCATGGCTGGTGTTTATGATTAGTTGATATCGCAAGGTAAAATTCCCTTTTTTATTTTCATCATTTCACTGGTCTGAATCTTTTTCTATGAACAGTGTGCTACAATCCTTGATTGATTGAGTAAGGAAACCATACCTAAAAGTTTATTGGGCATTTGGTGAGATTCGAGTATGCGATCTATTGTCTGCTATGATACCATGTGAAGTTATTTGGGACCAATTCATTTAAAGGCTTAATTGTTTTAGAGAGGGGTAATTTTATTTAGCCTTTCTGCACATCCATTTTCGATTCTTTATATATTATGTGATGTTTGTGGGCCTTTATTTTTAGTGATTTGTTGTGCCTTTGGGTTGATAACTTTGGTCTCCATTGGCTCTAATGTGGCCCAGTTATGGTGTTTCTTACTGATACAATCTGCAAAATTTGAGTGGGACCTGTGAAAGATTGTTTGCTGAATGGAAGTTTGTTGCCCTGTTAATCGAATTTAATTATGGATTGGCAGATTTTTGTGAAGTTATGTATATCTATTGGCACATAAATCTTGAGACACATGATCTAACTGTATGTATGTGTAGATACAAATTGTACACCATACGCATCACTTTTGGGTAATTGTTTTTTGAATATTCTTTTTTTGTCTTTTTCCTTGAACTTGCAGGTTCACATCACATGAGGTGACCATGAAGGTAGGAGTATGATCATTTCATGGGTGACTCCAGTTGAGAAATACCCCAATGTGGTGACATACTGGGAAGCAGGCACTAAACATTTACACAAGCTCCAGACTCATTCTGAAATCACCACTTATAGATACTATAATTATGCTTCTGGTTACATTCACCATGCTACTATCAAAGATTTGACGGTACAAATATATATGCATTAAATGTATTTTGTTTTAATCTGTTGTCTTATGTTTAAGATTACTTTTTTGAGCTTTCTAACTTTTTTTTCATGTAGTTTGACACAAAATACTTCTATGAAGTTGCGTCTAATGAAGTTACCCATCAGTTCTCCTTCACAACTCCTCCCAAGCCAGGACCTGACGTTTCTTACACCTTTGGTGTCATAGGTTAGGGTAATCTAGGGAATTTTAGTTTATTTATTTAATTCATCATTCATTACATTTTGTATAATGTTAACATTATTTTTGTGCAGGTGACTTGGGACAAACTGCAGATTCCAATCGAACTCTAGAGCATTATATGTCGAACCCAATAAAAGGCCAAGCTGTGCTATTTGCTGGTGATCTTTCATATGCTGATGATCACCCTAACCATGACAATACCAAGTGGGATACATTTGGTCGTTTCATTGAGAAGAGCGTTGCGTACCAACCCTGGATTTGGAGTGCAGGCAATCATGAAATTGACTTAGCTTCTAATTTGGTAAGACACCAAATAAATATGTTCTGTTCATTGTCACCGATCTCATTTCTCTGTCATAAATTATTTTATGGATTATATCATCTTCTTTTTTAGGAAGAAACCGATCCTTTCAAGCCATATTTGCACCGCTATTATGTACCCTACAAGGCATCCCAGAGTACTTCCCCATTTTGGTATTCAATTAAGCGTGCATCGACATATATCATTGTTCTTTCTTCTTACTCAGCCTATGGTATGAATCTTCTTCATTTTTTCTTTTACTTTCATATTTTATACTTTTATTTTTTGTTTTGTTAACAAAATTTTATGGTTGTTTAGGGAAATATACCCCGCAATACAAATGGCTTGAACAAGAGCTCCCAAAGATTAACAGATATGAAACTCCATGGGTCATTGTTATTTTACATGCTCCATGGTACAATACCAACCACTACCATTACATGGAAGGAGAAAGTATGAGAGTCCAATTTGAATCGTTGTTTGTTCAGTACAAATTTGATATTGTATTTGCTGGCCATGTTCATTCTTATGAGCGTTCAGTAAGCTTTCTTTCTAATACAAAATTAGATAATTTATTTTCATATTGCTTACAAGAATTAATTTCTTATCCTATGTTGTAGGAACGCATATCAAATATTAAGTACAACATTACAAATGGATTAAGCTTACCGGTTCGAGATATTAATGCTCCAGTATACATAACAATCGGTGATGGTGGAAACATGGAAGGCATAGCTAACAAGTCAGACTGTTTAATTGTTTCTTAGGTCAACTGATTCTCATATTGAACTATTTTGTAAAATTGTCTACTTATAAAATTGACCTTTAATTTTGCAGTTTTATATATCCACAACCAAATTATTCTGCATATCGTGAAGCAAGCTTTGGGCATGCAATTCGTGACATAAAAAATCGAACTCATGCTTATTATTGTTGGCAGCGTAATCAAGACAATGAACCTGTTGTAGCAGACTCTGCTTGGTTTTTTAATAGGTTCTTTTCTTATGGCGGATGAAACCATTCCATGACAAGGAGACTTAGGAGATTGTGCCCTCAATTACAAGGAGGCTTAGATTTTTGTTTGGAGAGATTTTAGTTTGGATTATTTATTTATTAATTTATTTTGGTAGGTTGTATTTGTTTTTGCCAGTGCTTTTTAAATATGTTCAATAATGTTTAGTGTGTCCATTATGTTAGCCTTTTAATAAATGCGAAGTATTGTTTTTGGATATCCTTTTTGTCTAGATGCCTAATAATAACAGCCAATTAGATGACTTAATAGCAGAGCAATAAAATCAAATGGGACAAAATGTGTTAAGTTGACAACTTGAATGGCCAAATCGTTGGAAATTCAATTTGTATTAAACTACCCACGTTCAATTTTTCTTAAACTGCCCATAGTTGACTCAAGTTTAACATTTTGGATTGTAATCTGCTAAAATTTTATATTGATTTATTATGGTGTTTTGATGATTTATGTTAATTAGAGGTTAATTTGAATATCATGTTTCATCTATCTTTTTAGTGTTATTTTAGATTGTTTATGGGTCAATTTATAATTTATTAAATAGTATTGGAATTATAATTATATTTTAATCTTAACATTATTTACACCGTGCCTTCAGGCACGGGCATACGCTAGTACTATAACGAATGACAGCCTTATAAAAAAAATTTAAAAAAATACATAACAACGATCTAATGCAAATTATTTTTAATAACTAATAGAAAGAATCTCAAATTATTACCTATTATAAATATAGTGAAGAAAATTAATTTTGTGAGATTTTTGTGCTACCTTCTCCCAAGTAGCCTTTATTATTTCATTATTAATACTATTCTCATTCAGAGCGATAATTTTTTTTTTATATAATCTTTATCATTTGGTAGATAATAACGAATAATAAAAATTATCAAGAGAATGTTAATAATTTAATAGAAGATAAGAAGTTATAGATAAGAGCATTTTATAAGATAAAAAATTTAAAATAAAAAAAGATAATATATGATAGGAGAAAAAACAAATGAGTAAATCAAAACAAAGATTTAGATATATATGTTTTTGATATATATGTTTTTGAAAAAACAAAAATTTCAAATAGAGAATTTAGAGATGGGATTGAAGAAATACTATAACGAATAACAGCCTTATAAAAAAATTTAAAAAAAATACATAACAATGATCTAATGAAAATTATTTTTAATAACTAATAGAAAGAATCTCAAATTATTACCTTTTATAAATATAGTGAAGAAAATTAATTTTGTGAGATTTTTATGTTACCTTCTCCCAAGTAGCCTTTATTATTTCATTATTAATATTATTCTCATTCAGAGCGATAATTTTTTTTTTTTTTATAATCTTTATCATTTGGTAGATAATAACGAATAATAAAAATTATCAAGAGAATGTTAAGAATTTAATAGAAGATAAGAAGTTATAGATAAGAGCATTTTATAAGATAAAAAATTTAAAATAAAAAAAGATAATATATGATAGGAGAAAAAACAAATGAGTAAATCAAAACAAAGATTTAGATATATATGTTTTTGATATATATGTTTTTGAAAAAACAAAAATTTCAAATAGAGAATTTAGAGATGGGATTGAAGAAATACTATAACGAATAACAGCCTTATAAAAAAATTTAAAAAAAATACATAACAATGATCTAATGAAAATTATTTTTAATAACTAATAGAAAGAATCTCAAATTATTACCTTTTATAAATATAGTGAAGAAAATTAATTTTGTGAGATTTTTGTGCTACATTCTCCCAAGTAGCCTTTATTATTTCATTATTAATATTATTCTCATTCAGAGCGATAATTTTTTTTTTTTTTATAATCTTTATCATTTGGTAGATAATAACGAATAATAAAAATTATCAAGAGAAGGTTAAGAATTTAATAGGATATAAAAAGTTATAGATAAGAGCATTTCATAAGATAAAAAATTTAAAATAAAAAAA